CTATTATTTAACAAATAAAACAAGAGTAAAGTGAATAGTTCATCCATTTATTACAAGCACATGGCAATCACATGGGAAGTGTGAAAGTATGACCACTGTTCAGTTCTGTCCCTTTTACAAAAACGTGTTTTCTGTTACAGTTGCACAGTTTACATTGGATAAGTGGAAGAAAATTGATGGATCCATCATTGGGAGGATTTAAAGCCATACAAAAAAAAAAAGATTTAATACTGAATCAAACATACACAGCCTCTCCAAATTATAAGTTAAATAAGACAGTTTTCACGCCAACAGTCAGGTTTAATCTAGTTAGACAAGGTAAGCAAAAGCAAATCTTGGTGAACATAATTTTGCCACCTCGTCTCCAGGTAAAGATCACTGTATGTCCAGGATATACAGTCATGACCTCCACAAACACAAAAAGCAGCACAAACAAACGATGGTGACTCGTTTGTTTAACAGATGATCGGCAAGACAAGAGGGGCCACAATTGGATTTAAGTGTATTTGTATATTGTACTATACAACCACTGGCCTAAGGTAATGGGTTTTAAAACGGCTCAATCTTCAGCATTATGCTCAGAAACTGTGCATGAATAAAGTGGTGGGGCAGGAGTATTATAATGTTTTCATGCCTGCATTCCTCATCTCACATAACCTGATAATTTCAAATACTACTAAGAAAGGTTTACCGACAATTTGCTAGCCAAGTTAGCGTAGACTTCCTCAGCTAACAAATGTTAAAACCCAACTGAACATCATAATCAGACTCGCAATTCTATCTTAATCCGCAAGCAAAAAACTTGGCTGGCCTAAACTTGTCGCTTATCTGCGCAGTTCATTATGAGTCATAACTGAATACATCTCGAAATAAGAACGGGACATCTAAACAGCAGGGTTTTGTTATTAAACATTTAACTGCTGGTTGCTAGCCTTCCAAATAAGCTACAAATAGCCAATATAGCCGCTAGTTAGCTGGCTACGGTCGATGGGAGACTGGTTAACGATAAAACAGCATTGTGTTAGCTGCTAATGTGTTCACGATTTAGCCAGCTAACTAGCTTCAAGGAAAACCTCACCAGAGTAATTGTAGTGAGAAGTCCATAAACAGCGAAATACTTACACCAAACCAGCACTGAATTTTGCGCTCAAGTGCAATTTATGACAACGACCGACGCGGAAATTCTCCTTGTGCGAGTATTAACAGGCCATCTTGTTGTGCCACACCAGCACTTCCAGGCTAGCCAAGATTACACACTCGCCTAAGATGGCTGCCGCTTGCTAATGGTAGCTGCACTAGCTTCCGCCATTCTAAACATTAAAATTAGAGCGATCTCGACAGCGCTATGCTCACAAAGATTAACCAAGAGTGCTCAGGAAACCACAGAGACACCCATAAATCATAGTTTGAGCGCTAGTAACGTTATCGCACAACACCAACGCCGACGACGAGTTGGTTAGCACGCTAAGCGCCACACCGTGATTTCCAGTCAGGAGTGGGCTAGCTGAAACAAAGATGGCTAACCATGAAAGCCCGAAACGGTGTGCGAAAAGCCCGGGAAAGGACGTCTTTTACGCAGACAAGAACTTCTCGAAACACAAATCCGCCGTCATATGCAGCTTGAAATGAATTATACGGACAAAAACAACCAAGAAAATCCGTTTAATCGCTACTTGAAAGGACACGATGAGTCTTGGCTACAAACCCGAAGCACTCCTTCACTGCGGCAGCAGTCGACAAACCGCACGCACGACTCCAATGGCGGCCTTGCTGATGTTAGCAGCTATCCAGCCGAGACATTATTAGCGTGCTGGCTAGATAGCCACGATGCCAAGCTAACCCCCAGCTAATCCAGTCTGCTAACACAGTTAGAGCCTACACTCCAGTTTAGTTATATAGCCTGTAGATAGTAAAACACTGGAGCGGAAGCTTTACTAAACCGCCCATCCGACCATGTTTAAGTGTGGTTTCGCATGCAAAGACAAACTGCAAGCAAATAGAAAGAAATACAGACGAGTTGAGTCTGCAGCAATCGCAAACAGCAATCAAAAAATAGCCTGGATAGGAATCGAACCTGAAATAGTCTTTTATACCAGTGTGTTGCTGTGCTTGCCTGCTGTTCTAGCAGCACATAATGTCACAAGCAGTGCCAGCCCGGGCCTGTATTTTTCCATCTCAAAGTTCAGAACCCGAGGCGCACAAGACACACCGCTGACTAAAATAACGATAAAAACTACGATGATATATTAAGCTGAAGACAAACGACCCTCTATGCCTCTCTGCCGTTGCTGCTATTGATGCCAGAGTATGCTGAATTTAAACGATATAACACATCATTAGGAATAAAGGATCACGGCTGTTTAAACGTGTAAATTCTTGCAGGCCCGCACCCACCTTTCTGTCCGCTTACTTTGTGACTGCTGAAAAGAGAATTTTAAAAAGAGAGAAGCGTTGCAAACTGTATGTAGTAAGCCTGGGTAGACTGCTCAGTATCTTCCTCCCTCTCTAGCCCTCTCTCTCTCTTTCTCTATGCCTGTGTGTGTAGCTGGCGCCACAGCTCATCTGGCGCCAACGTTGGACAACCGACGCACTTTAGCGAAAGCAACCATTGTCCTTTCAACGCAGCACGGAAACCACAATCACCCCCTACAGGCTGGGAGTCGACAATGCACCACAGACACAAGCCTGGAGATTTCCTTTACGGTTTTTAGTTTGCAATGTTTATCCATAACACTGGCTCTGACGTTATTTTACTGTATTGTAACAAAGTTGAATATGAGGTTTATATCAGTTCACCTGCTAATGTTCCTGTTTCTTCCACCCCCCAAAAAAGGCAAGCTATGACAATACAGATCAATAAAATAAAATATGATGTGAAAAAAAATACTCTAACATGGCAAAAAAACGTGCAATAAATCTAAATTCAAAAAACTTTTTTTTAAGCCTAAATAAATAATTGAATATATAAAGCTGTATTTGTGTGGTCCTCAAGCTCAGGGCCTTTACCATTGGCCAAGTATATTAGCTGTTCCTAGCACTGCACTCCTTTGGACAGATGCCGGAATCTGCTGCAGCCACTTTTCCAGTTTCCAGCTCCTTCCATAAAATCCACATCTGCTCCAGTTGTTCCTTCAGTTCCTGGTCCCTGCTTTGTAACCATATTATGTGGATAGTGTAGTGGCAGCTTTACAGTCTCTGGAACAACAGGTTGGAGACCAAATACTGGTCAGGGCATGTATCCAGTAAAGGTCCCCAGAGTAGATCCTCAATTATCCTAAATTCCCTCAGGGCACAAGCAAGGGACACATAACTAACAAGGTCAGAAGAACCACTGCAAACTACTAAGAAAAAGGCTACTGTTACACTGATAATATAGCACTGATTGAATGCTACTATGCCAGTCAGCCGACCAAAATGAGGGCAGGTGTTGGACTGAAAGCAAGAAAATGCAGATACATCTGTGTCTGGACGATATCTGCTCATAATACTCGGTCTACCAGTTAGGGCTGTAATAGCTTCTTTGTAGGTGATCATATTCACTCAAAAACATAATCAGGACATAATACAGGGGGAAGAGTGGGCAGCTATGATGAGAAAGAAGAGTTTAAAGGCAGTTGGTCCAGATGACTTACCTGTGGAGGTACGGAGGTGTACATGAGAGAGGGTGGTGGACTTTGTAAACAGACTGCTTTGCACAGTATTGGAGAGTAAGAGGATGTCTGAGGAATGGAGAAGAACTGTGGTGGCACTAATTTTCAATACAGGTGATGTGTAGAGCTGTATACTAAATTACTAATAACTAAATGAGTAAATTATTATTACTTTCTTATGGGTTTTATTAACATTTCATTGTAATTTTTTGCAGCCAATCATTGCAACAGACATAAAGTAGCAAGACTTCAGGCAGATATTTGATGCATAAAGTGACAAAGAAAAAAAAAGCGAATCTACAGAGATGAGTCAGGACAAAATCCTTTTCCCCATAAAAATGTCTGAAAATAATAATTAATTAGAAAATCAAAGATAAAAATCAATCAAACAAACAAAAATGAAATGGAGAAGTTTAAAAGGTTAATATAATATAAACATCATCATCAGGTCAGCAAGGTTCTTTAAGTCATCTGTATATAATAGTCACCAATGACCTTTTACATAGAAATGATTGTATGTATTCTGTCACTGATTACAACTGTTATTGCCAACATATTCCTAAACGATTATAATTCTTATTTGAATGTTCAATTTGCTGGCTTCTACATTTACAAATATTTGCTTAAAACATACTGAATTAGTTTGTCACAGTGAAAAGATGATGGGTGGGGGAGTTGTTAGGCAAATTTAGCCTGAATATTAGCGCAAAATTCTGTAGGGAAAATATCAAAGCGAACACCTTCTTGCAAACTGTAGGAGATGTGAGACTACACTGTATACCTGTCACTCAAAAAATGCAGAAAGATGACAAAGGGTTAAAAAAATCAAAATGGCTTTTTGTTTTTTGTTTTTTGTATGACAGTAGTCTTTTTTTTAAATGGAAATCCATCAGCTTTGGGGGGAATTATCAACTACTGGCACAGCAGTCTAGATGCTTCTATTATATTTGTGCAATGCACACGTCTTTAAAGGTGTAAGCTATGTAGATTTGGTGTAGTAAAGAAGGAATCCCACAAGATGATGCTGTTTTCCCCTTCACATTGTTGATGAATGTTCTGTTAGTGAGAGTGGCATTAAGTATGGTTACATATAGAGGTCTATAAAACACAACCATAACAAATGAATTCCTCAACAGTCTAGCTAGTAATTCTGACACTTTTATGATATTTAGTTATTAAGTTCATCAGTAAGTAGTCCTTTTTTTATTTCCTTTTCGCTGTCTCACTTGTCTTTATTTCAGGCACCACCCATTCTTTGATTATTTAAAGTCCAACTAGGAATACTGGTTTTACAAAGAGAGCGTATTACATAGCAGACATTCTGTTACTCACAGCTTTTGTCACGCAGTTTCAGTGTAGCGATCAACTTCAGGAGCTCCTCGTAGATTCCTTGTGCTGCTTACTTTCAGTCAAGTCTTTTCTTTAGCTGCTCATCTCATCAGATCTCCTAAAAACTTCACACAGCCGCTGAACTTTAATCACCTGTGGATTGTTTTTTTTTCTAAATATATTTTTTATCTCCTGGTAAGAAAATGTCACACAGCGGGAGCCTGGATTTGGACAGATACACCAGCTTGGATAAATCTCGTCGACCCAACAGTCGCAGCCAAGCCAGGACCCTGGCCAGGAGCGGAGACGTCCTGTGCGACTTCTGCACAACAAAGAAGCAGAAAGCTGAGAAGTCCTGCTTGGTGTGCCTGGCATCCTACTGTGAGACTCACGTCCAGTCTCACTACAACTACCCTACCCTGATGAAGCACAAGCTGGTCAAAGCTACGGGTCAGATGAGAGAGAAGCTCTGCGCACAGCATGACAAGCTGCTGGAGGCTTTCTGTCGCACTGATGAGACATCTGTGTGCGTTTTGTGCATGATGGATGAACACAAACATCATGACATCGTCCCGGCTGGCACTGAGAGGACTGAGAAACAAGTAAGTGGCGAAAGCAACACTGTGAACACAGCAAATAAGTTATCGACAATCCACTAATGACTATTGATGGCTTCTTTCTTGTCTTTGCTGCTATAGAAACAACTTAGTGTTACGCTGCACAAATCCCAACAAAGGATTGATCAGAGGGTTAAAAAGTGGCAAGACCTCCGACAGGCTGTCGAATCACTTAAAGTAAGTCAGAAAGTTGCCTCGTGCAAGTCACACTAATCTAACTATAACAATTAAAATATTCTTTTTAAAAGTAACCGTTTTTAACTCATGATGTGAAAAAATCTTCCTCTCCTTTGTATCTCACCAGCATTCTGCTCAAACAGTCTTAGAGGAAAACGAGCGCATATTCACTGAGCTTCTGCTTTCCATCGAGAGAAAGTATATTGAAGTCAAGGAAATGATCCGCACCCACGAAAGGACCACCGTGACCCAGGCCGAAACACTGCTGGATCGTTTAGAAGAGGAGATTACTCTGCTGAAGAAGAAGCACAATGACCTGGAGTTGCTTTCACACACTGATGATCACATACACTTCCTACAGGTGAGGCTGGCGACCCCAACCAAGATAACATATGGTGCGAAAGTCAGGGGTCTTTGGAGAAAAGAGTAAAAATATTCACTGTCTAGTATGTCTCATGTGTCTTCTTCTTCTTCTTTTTTTCCCCGCCAGAGTTGGCAGTCCCTGTCAGGCCCCTCGGGATATGAAGATCTCAACAAAATCAGAGTCGCACCCTATTACTCCTTTGATGCTACCAAGAGAGCCATCTCTGCACTGAAATTACAAGTGGAAGAAGTCAGCAAAGTTGAAATGAGCAAAATCTCAGGAGCAGGTGAACAGACTTGCCTTTTTTCATCTCAGATAGCGCAGATGATATGTGCTTTTTTCTGTTGTTTCTTAATCTGCTGTTGTGTATGTGCATTTTTAATTTGCCTTCACAGTGAAGGAAGTCCACATCACAGAAGAAAATGAAGAAAGAAAGTCAAGAAGAGAATCCGTGCTGAGGGAGGAACCAAAGATAATAGAAGAACCAAGAGCAAGAGAAGATTTCTTGAGATGTGAGTTACCGGATTCATTTTTGTAACCTTCCTTCAGCCTATCTGTAAACCTTCAGCACCAGCATTGCATTTACAGAAAATCCTACTTATATACTGTCATGGGAAGCACATTTTGTATTTTATCTAATGTTAAATAGCTCCAGTTACTGTTTCATGCATGGATATGCAGCTCTGTGTGTGAAATGACCGAAACTTGCAGTGGGAGGTATGCTGGTGGCAGAACTGGTTTGGTGAAACATAAGGAAGCAAAGTTACTTAAGTAAATACAGGTGTTCCTGCTTTTATGGCACCTATAAAAACCTTTGAATGAGCTGATTCATGGGAGCTAGAAACCTTTTTTAAAGGTATAATCACAATTGTTACCATACTCAGGCACATATCTCTCATTGATATATAACAAAAAACAGGGACAAAGGACAGTATATCAACATATGTTACATACCTGATGAACTGGTGTGAATAGTGCTATGTGTGTGTGTGTCACCGCTCATAGGTCTTTGAAACTGTGCTTTGACGTGGCAAGGAGGAGTAAGATGGAGTCCAGGGAAAAAAGCTGTTCCTCAGTCAGTTACTGTGATGATGTATTGTCCTGAACTATTCACAGGGAGTGTCAAGGGTGTGGTAGGACTTTGAATATACTGCTGGCTCTCTTTGTCAGATAGCTAGCATAGATGTTATCCAGGATTGAGAGCTCTGTTCAGGTGGCTGCACAGGGTGGCACAGCTGGTGAGGATACTCTCCATGGTCCTCTTTAGTTAGCTGTTTTAAAACAGAGACTCTGGCGAACTTTACTTTGCCTTTTCCACTGATTCTCCATGTATGTGTTTTTGGAGATACTTTATTTCTTTTGTTCTCTTTAATGATCTCCTTCTTCTTCAATGGAGCTCCAGGTTATTGTCTATACGTCACTCATCCGAATTAACACTGTAGGCTGTCTCCTCATTGTCAGACATCAGCTAGAAGCACAGAATACCAATCATCTGCTAATCACTTAAATCTAAATAGTTTCCTGAAATAACATAAATATATCAAATGCTCAATCTGAGAATGCTGTTTGACACATTTTTAGATAGGATAGGGGAATATTAACTACTGTCCGCATCACCTATGGTTTAGTTAGCACTCTTTAAGCATTTGTTAAGTGAAAACAATTCCTTTTGAAAGGGAAATGTTTTCCCATTCATGCTTTAGTCGTTCAGCAATTCAATGATATAAGGAAATCTTCCCTGCGTAGACACTGTAGATATCAGCATATTTATCTACAGATGTTGTTTATGTCCTCTAGCATGCCTTTACCAATGTGCAGGTCACCTATGCTATGCACACTACTACTCTCATACTATGTCGGATGCTGGATTTTGAAGCGTGAGGTGGTAAAAAAACGACTATCGCATTTAATCCTAGAACACGCATCCATGATTTCCAAGAAGAATTTTTTATTTTGATCATCAGACCTGATGATAGTCTTCTCTTCTGTGGGCCCAGAGAAGAGAAGAGTGTTCCAGTTCATCAAGTATTTTTTCTTTGCAGAATAGAGTTTTTGACTTGTTTTTCTGCTGTGTTCAGATGCTGGTCAGCTGATTCTGGATGTCAACACTGTTCACCCCAGCCTTCACTTGTCTGAGGGTAACAGAGCTGCCACGATGAAGAATGAACCCAAGAACTACCCTGACCACCCTGACCGATTTGACCACTGGCAGCAGGTGAGGTTTCACATTAAACAGGATGAAAGAGAGAGTTGATCAAATTATTAGGGGAAAAAAGTAATTTCTATAGTTTGTGAAATCATGCCTTTTAAGCTTTCATTTCATCCTTTCTCTTCCAGGTGTTGTGCAGGGATAGTGTGATTGGGACTCGTTGCTACTGGGAGGTGGACTGGAAGGGAACAGAGATAGATGTGGCTGTTACCTACAGAGGAATCCGTCGTAAAGGGAATGCCAATGAATGCAGCTTTGGCTGGAATGACAAGTCCTGGAGTCTGTACTGCTCTGACTCCAAATTCTCTTTTGTGCACAACAACAAAAGCACAGACATCACAGCTCCGGTGTCTTCTCGTATTGGCGTGTACCTGGACCATGCAGCAGGAACACTGGCATTTTACAGTGTCTCTGATGGCATGCGTCTTTTGCACAAGATCCAGACCACATTTAAAGAGCCACTCTACCCTGCATTCAGTGTGTGGGGCTTTGGTACGAGTATAAGACTGTAAGATATTCTTCAGACTTACATTCTCCTTAAATCTGTGACATCTAGCACGTGGTGTTTGAGTCATTTTTGCTGGTTTTATCTTCTTTTATTTAACTTTTTCCTGATAAGTCTTTTTATGAGTGTTTTGGTTACAGGTTGCTCTTTTAAGGGAAATTAAGATATAACGGGTGCCATTAGTAAGTAGAAAAACATTAAATCATTGATCAGGATGCTTTCTCACGTTTTCTTTCTTTCTCTTTATTATGTTAATGTATTATATATTTACATCACTGACATGTTGCACATGTCTGTAAAATACATTTTTTTAAATATTGCTACTGATTAATTTGTCATTTTCTGTAATCTTATTAAAAACACAATAAATAGAAAGTGACTCACATTACTGGGAATTACGTTGCTGTAAGGGCTGATGTTAATCAGTCTATTAATACGTTATTCCTTCAACAACTTAGATTCAACAGTTTCTTTTCTTGTTCAAGTAAGTGACTAAAAAAATGTAATATCATAATACCATGTCATATTGACTGATACTGACTATTTTAACTAATACTGGCCACTTATTAAACACTTTTGAATTTCATCAGCAATAACCAGGAATTGATGGGTCATCTAATCAGCTGATAACAAAGACATTTCAAAGCAGCCAAAATGGAATAAAGTTTCTACCTAGTTGATTTTTTTTAAATGTATAATAACTTTAGTATAAATTAAGTCCTTCATGGTATGCTTGGTATAAAAATGTAGGTAAACATGTGACCTTCTATATGCTAAAACCAGGGGCTAAGTGGAGTTTTGTAGTTAAATCAGGTGTTGCAGTGCAATGTGGGGATGTGAATTACTTAAAAACAAGTCACATATGAATTTCTTTTGTGAGCTGCAGTAGATTTTTCTTAATGTACAGGCTGTGATCAGCTGATCCGTGTTGCTACTGTGTTTTCTGTTTTACTTGATGTAACTTAACACATCATGTACTGATCCAACATCTGACTGAAGAACTCTGATTAAAAATAAATTTGGACATTAATGCAAGATTTAAATTTCCAGTTTATAAAACTGGAAAAATTTTCTTATTTTCAATTTATTCTGTATCTTAACTCTTTTTGATTTATTTTTTACAGCATTTCATTTTGTCATTTATTTTACTCTAATTTGTGTAAAATGCTTTTTGAGCACATGAAAGGTGCTTTATAAATAAGCATTACTTACCTACTTTTGAAAAAACGCTCTCATCTTCCTCTCCTGTCCTCTTTCTTACATTTTTCACTACCTCTGTGTTGCACACCGATGTTTTTTCTTGCCCTGGGAAATAAAGCAACTGTACATTAGCTATTAGATACATTTTGTGATGCACTGCTTGAGTTGTGTGCGTGATGATGTTTGTTGAACTTTGAAATTACCTGCAAAAAAAAAAATTACTCCATTTATGGTTGGTCCTCTTCTGTAACGTGAGCTAGATATTGAATATGCTCACATTTGCACCTTGAAGCCATCAAAGGGATGAGAAAAAACAATGTGCTGAAAGGTGTAGTAAATGGACTGTGGGGCGACATTATTTTCTTATTACTGAGAAAGCATCACTGGAGGTAGCAAAATCAAAAGAAACTCATTTGACAGCAATATGCATTAATGTGCCAATCAGATTTCATTGCTCGTTGAAGGTACCAGGCGTTGTTCTGAGTTGTTCATCCCCAGTTGAAGCCGTTTCCAGGATTTTTTACATGGAGCCCAAAGGGGAATCAAGAATATAGCAGGAAAACCAAAACAATTAATAAAAAAACAAATCAATCAGAAATAGAAAAGTGATGTCAAAAACATAATTTCAGGTTTATGAAAATTGAGGCCTATTACACATTTTTTGTGAAATTATTAGGAACTGCCCAAGAATTTAAATATAGTCATCTATTGGACATTGGCAAAATGGAAGAAAGTATTTTGATTTTTAACTCACTTAAAACATATAATCCTACCTTAAATAACTTAACAGTGAAAAGGTTGAACAATCAAAATATAATTAAAGTACCTTAAGTAAACATATTCAGACATTTTTATGTCTATATGTTTTTGAACATATTTCACCGATAGTGTTCTGTGGCTTGATCTACAATAATAAGTAGCTAAAGCTGTCAAATAAATACTTTAGCGCATTCAAAATATAGTTGAATAAAAAAAGTAACATAGTATGAGAATACTAAAAAATATATACAGAGAAAAATAAATATTACAAATACATTAAACCTAAGTAAAGTATATGAGTAAATGTTACATTCCTGGTGGTCCTATCCATGCTCTCACATGTTGCTCATGTGTTGTACACCTCTGATTGAACCACTGGCTGTGATAAAGTTTGACCAGCCATCTATTCCACGTGGTCATATAAGTCTGGAAAGCTCCAGTGAATTATAAGAAAACAGATAAAACATTTAGGGCACTGGTTCTCTTACTCTTTGTCATAGACATTATAATGGTACAGTTTTTTTTGCAATCTAAACTATGATATCACATTATATGAATATATTACATGATTGCTGTTTTAGATGGAAAGATACGTGGAGACGGTGTAAAAAGGATTTGTCTGCTGTTTTTAACGGCGCTTTGATATGTTTTTTGGCCCTGATAAATTCCACGCGTCTGTCTTTTGTACTAATGAAGTTATAGGAACTGATCAGAAAAGAATGGGGGAAAAGGTTTTGCATAGTTTATTAAATATGCTGATTCGTAATTGATTTTTTCACAGAAGGACCCAGCGCAGATTATGTATCGCTGACAAATGAAAATATTAATTCGTTAAAGCTGCAGAGGGCAGCAGAAACAAGTTTTGTTTAAGGGGCTCGGTGTCTCACGCTCATTCACACATGTTGTATATAAACAGAGAGCTACACGGTGCTGACGTAAAGACGAAGACGCGTGTCTTTACAATGAGATAAGAAAGCACGGGAGAAAAACACACACATGCACACAAAAAAGAAGAAAATGCGAAAGCTTCCAGGTTGTACTCAGAGCCCTCTATTCTGGCCGTACCCTCTTCCTACCGTTAACAGCGAAGGAAACGTACAGGTTCCAAGTGTAGTAGGCCTACTCTCAGGGTCTCACGGTGAAAGGAACTGATTTAAAACAGTAATATTCAAATTACAACATTGTGTGGATGTAATTGCTATTTTATAATTTAAAACTTTGTCCAAATACGGTAGGACAAACTTGTCTTCTTGAGCTTCCTCCGCGCTATCCCGCCCACACGTGCGTAATCAAATGTGGGCGGAGTCAAACAGCTGGATACTCGTGGCGGCTGAGATACAGAAGGACTGGCTGCTGTGAAGCCAGCCTTCCCCCCACTCATTTTAACGCGAACACGGCTAACCGAGGTCCCATCTGCTCTGGAAAAATCTACATACTCAAGTAAAATTAAAGCTAAGTCGTGATAGTTTTTGGGGGGGTTGGGGGTGCCAGAGTTGTGGAGGACACGCCGGCGTACTCAAAGTTTTCATTTTTCTAAAAAGAAAAAAACAATCTGCATTTGCTAGCTTACAAGGAGGCAGAAGGTGAGTTGTCACAGATTTACCTTTGATGCTTGTTGTTGCTAGCTAGAAACAGGAAGGTGGGCAAAAAAACCGTCGCATTTGAAATGTAAGCGGTTAATGTGTCCACCCCGAACACCCCCAAACTTATAAAATGTTGTTGAACATTTAAGAAAAGCAGAAAACTAAAGCTTCACGAAAGCAGGATTATGTAAGGTAATGCACCCTGCTGATCGATGTAAATTAAATTGCTGTGGTCACTAATAGCTTGTTCTTGATAGTTTACTTAATCATTTAATGATGATGAGTAGGTGAATGCTCCTAATCAACCCTATCGATCCTCTCATTCACTAGCTGAAAAGAGACATCTGTCCTGCCGCTGTCCCATCTACCGTCCTCCATCTTCAGGAAAATGAATCGGTGCACATGTCAGTCACACTCAGATAAATGTTAATCCTACTTGAGAAGACATTGCTCAGCTGGCTGGAGAGGAAAAAGAAGAAAGGTGCTGGAAGATGTCTCTGTGGATGATACTACCTGTTAGCCTCCCTGTCCTGACCATCACTGGGATATGGGTTGTGTAAGTATTGTCTGTTTTTTCCCCTTTCTTTCTTTTCTTTTTTTGACATCAGAAAAGTTTAAAATCTATGTAAATGTTCTAAGGTTTGACATCTGGATCTATACCCTGTCCATAACTTTAAAAATGACAAAATACAAATTAAGAATTGGAATCATGTTGTAATAAAAATACTCTTCGATACTCCAGCCTCCTCTCCTGCCTACAGGTGTGCAGCACTACATATTTACCCTGAATTCCTGGGAGTCATGGCAATTGCATGTGGATTAACTCTTTCCAGTAATGATCCGGGATTATCACCATTATCCTAAAAATCAGACATGCAGGTTTGCAGTAAATCTTAATTATCTGTAGTACAGTGTCTGAGCAGATGTGCTGGAGAGAAACCCTCCTGGTTATACTTGGGCTGACAGCTCTTCTCTCTGTTCTATTATTTTGTTGGGACAAGGAATGCAAACCCCAGTGGGGAGAGAGACAGATGGCCCAATTCTAAATTGTTGTAGTTCTGAATCAAGGCTATGTGCTGCATCACTGATAAGTTGCATGGAGACTAAACAGCCTAATCAAGCACCAAACTTGAGACCATATGGCAATTAATGTTGTGGTGTGCGTGGCTACTCAACAGTCCAATCAGTAGTGTGTATCCAGGTGTAGCGGCTTAATGTTTCCATGCTGATTTGAGAACATGAAGGTGAAAACCAATCTGTCTAGTTTGGGCATTTTTTTCTGAGCAGAAAGCTGATCTGAGTTCAGATGCTGAGAGCTGCAGATTGCCAGCCCCTTTACACCCATTTCCTTCCTGTTACCTTGACAAGGGCGCCTTGTTTCTAAGAGCAGTCAAGGGTCTTTTTCAGACTTGGGGAATGTCACAGAATGTGGCATGTTGCATAACTCCTGCTTCCCAGTGTGGATGACTGGGTAGGAGTAAGGTAAATACTGGAAAGGGGTGGGAAAGAACGTAAGCAAAATTTTCACTCAGTATCTGGCGCCCATGCCAAGTGTTTTCTGTATCAAGTTGGACCACCAAGAAGTCTTGGCTTCTGTTTCTCAACTTTTATCAGTCAGTCAGTGTATTTGCATATGTGTCTTTTATGTTATCCAGCAACCATGCTGTAGAAGCAATGGGAGTTTAACTAGTACCTGCCAAATTTATCTATAGTTTATTGGCTCACCCATTTTTCTGAGGTTCTTTTTGTAGAGCTTTTGGGACTTTTCATTGTTAAAAAAACACACAAATCCCCAACAAAAAAAGATTTTTCCATCGAAGTCTTTCTTTATGTAGGACTTGGTCCTAAATAAAAAACAGGGTCTGTTCCACTTAAACATTGCTTAAAGGCACATGCAATTACAGCCATTGCTGAGCTTTGATAGGGGTCTAATTATATAAACAAACCTATTATTACTTAGCCTCTGCTGAGCACATAAAGCGCTGGTTTAGTTCCAGCTACATCTAAATAAGTTCACTTTATTTAGAAGCTCCCCAGAGCTGCAGATGCTGTTCTAGCTTTAGAAGCTGGCCAGATGTATAAAATACACCCCCAAAATCAGGGAAAAATGTAACAACCTAAGCTGTCTTTTTCCTGCATTTTTTTTTCTAGATTTTTGATTTTTGTTTTTGTCTTGTTGGCACCATTTGTAGTGTTCAGCACATATGGAAAGGAAGCAGACAAAAATGAAAGGTGTGTGTTTGTTACTGTGTTTCTCCAAAGGCTTAAATGTCTATCACCGTCATTTACGCCTGAAGGTACACATTGGCACATTTTCCTTTAAGTCTTATCACACACTCAATAGATAAAAGGGAGGACATGGTGCACTTTTGTTTCTGTTCCTTTATCATAATCAAAAGCTGGAAGTCTTCTTTCACTCACAGTGATGGATTTCCTCAGTGCTAGAGCAGCGCTGATTACACGGTGATTGATGTGTCTTTAACCCTTTGTGGTCTCTCCTGTTCTGTGTACCTGGAGTACACCTAAATGAGTCATTTGTTTGTTAGCTGAAATCTCGGCCTGCAATTTTGAAAAAAACGGTCGGACCTACATAGTTTTTGTGTGTTGTAGCTTGCTGACTTTCATCTACAGTGAGAGATCCATGGGAACAGTAAGATGCAACCAATGGAAAAAATCCCAGAGGGTTATTGCCCCCATCTAACCAGCCAGCCAAGTGTTGACAGCCTTTACAGCAGTCAAAACCAGCTGTGCATTTCACTAAGCAAATGCAGTGTTAAAAAGCTGGTAGCAGGATTAATTTCACACTTGAAAGTTAACTAAAAATAGATTCTCCAGGCGTTTCTTTTCTAACACCAGCTGGTGCCCTCAGATTATTTTTTAATGTTGTAGAAATTAATAGACACATTGTTTTAATAGTAATGATAGCTATGCTCAGACTAATATTTTTGCCTGTTATCTTGACCTTTTGGACAGTCACACCTATCTTGCGTGTGATCATTGGATAGGAGGTGCTAGCTGGCGATTTCCAAGACAAAGATGTAAACAGACACTGGTGACAGAACTGCCATGTATGATACTGGGTTTCACTCTGTGTCCAAGTTCTATATAGCTGTGCACACCCTGCATAAGAAAAAACTGTCCACCTGCTCAGGTTGGACAGCCCGTGTTTTCTGAATCTGATATTGTGTCGACACATGAAATTGTAGCAGATACTGTGCAGTGGAAATAATTTAATACCGCTATTTTTAACGTTATGAAATATGTCTTGCTTTTGATTTCTTGCTTGTGTCTTTGGGAAATATCTCTGTCCTGTAAAGACTGGCCTGTGAGTAGGATATTATCAGCCATGGAAACATTCCTGATTGGTGCTTAACCTCTTGCTGAACTAGGACTGCATGCAAAAATGAGGAAAGATGCTCTGTCTGTGTGACTCGGTCTTCCTGTGGTTTTCTGGCTGTTACAAATAGTGTTTTTACTGTTGCATGTGAATAACAAGGTTATATGTGATTGTTGCATGTCCTTCCTGAAATGCCCACATAGAAATGTGGCTAAAACAAGTAAAAATAAAGATGATGTGGGATATGTAAACACCTCAGAAACCTGAGTTTCCCATAATTTCTTTCTGCATGTGCATATTCGTCCTATCTGCATATGCAGTTGATTTGAGCAACAGAGCAGACACAGTTGAGCTGCACATGTTCGTGTTGAGGACTTAATCACAGGACTCACAGTTAAATAGCATTTTCTTCAGCCATTCAAAACCACACGCTGGACATCTGGCCCTTTAATGTGGCCTCTGTATCATTAGCTGAAAATGGTTTGTTATGTGAAAAATATGTCTTTTAAGTATTCCAAGGCAGGGTCACAATGTCAGGTATAATAATGCAAGTGGTCATTGCAGCCTGATTGAAGATGTTCCAGTTATAGAGTTTATCTGTAGCCTGTGCAAAAGGGGATTTTTGTGGCCAGCACTGGTCTCAATATTTTAAAATCTTAATTAGAAGATAATATAAAGTAAACGGTTAGCACTGTTGCCTCACATGAAGAAGGTCCTGGGTTCAAAGCAAGCTTTCTGTTTGGAGTTTGCCGATTCTCTTTGGGTACTTCTGACACCTCCTCCAACTTCCTCATACAGTCCAGAGGCATGCAGTTAGTGGAGTTGGGTTAATTGGTGATTCTAAATTGCCCACATGTGTGAATGTCAGTTCAAACGATTGTCTGTCTGTGTTGCCCCACAACAGACAGGCGGTCTGTCCAGGGTCTACCCTGCTTCTCCTTTCACATCTCCTCCTGCATCCCTGAATTGATGACAAGCGGAAGAAAATGGATGGATCAATATATTTAAAATTGGTGTTTGTGTTTAGTGCTGACATATACAGATATTATGTTACTTATGTTAGATTGTTGACCTCTGTATGGCCGTGGCTGGTCAGTATCCTCACCATAGTCATACCACTTTGACAAAAATGAGCCATCTGAGGTAAATGGAGGTTCTTTATTAGTGCTTTTCTACTCTACATAAGCACCCAAAGTGCTTTATACAGCAGTTTCAGATAAAGGGTAAGAAATGGTGAAAAGTCAGCTCAACTGTTCCTGAAAGTTAAATAGGTGCAGGATTTTGGGTCACCCTAAAAGTTCAATAAATGAAAAGACCTGAAGTCATATGTAGGTCATTTTCAGTCATATAAAATCATCACTGTAAATAAGCGACCACATGAGAAATGCTACTGCAAAGACATGACAGATATGCAAAAGGGTTTTAGTGAGCTTAACAGTTGATGGCTACGTGGGTTTTACATAAATCTGTTCAGGATTCATGTTCACTGTGATATTACGTTTCCTTGCCTTTATGGTCTGTCTCACCTCCTGACAGTCTAGCGTCACAGTAGTGTCAGGTTATTATGTTAGCTGTGGCTTTCGCATTGAACTCCCCTCTGCTTTTCACTTGAATTCAATGACCTAAAAAAACTTCCTATTCTGAGGCTGCATGTGAGAAGTATCTTTTTTTTTCCTACCACTACCACTCGAACGGCTTTTGCCGTATGATTGAGTCAGTTTAAATTTACAGTGTATGCTAAAAATATAAAATAACTGTTCCCTTTGATTTTGGATAATCATTTCCTTTTCCTTTTTAGCTATGCCATGGCCCTTTACAACCAGCACGTCTGCCCTGTGGAAAACTGGTATGTTGACATCTATTCTGTATTTTGCTGATCCCTACAGTCAGTCTTGACCTTTGTAACCTTCCTTGCACCTCTTTTGCAACAAGAGCCAGTGAGAATAATTTCCTGCTCAGTCGGCTGAAAAACGTTTGAGAGACTCATTAAAATCCACTCACAGTTCAGTTCAGTTCAATGTTATTTACTTAGCGACAAATCACAACAACAGTTACTGCAAGGCACTTTATATTGTAAAGTAAAGACCACTACAATAATACAGAGAAAACCCCAACAATCAGACAAACCCCCATGAGCAAGCACTTGATGACCGTGGGAAGAAAAAACTCCCTTTTAATAAGAAGAAACCTCCAGCATAACCAGGCTCAGGGAGGGGCAGGCACCTGCTGCAACCGGATGTGGTTGAGGGGAGGGAGGTAGGAGAAAGACACACTGTAAAGCAGAGCCAGAGATGAATATTAATCTAGAAAATCAGCACAAATCTAAAGCTGTGATGCTGAAAAATTTGTCGTTGCTGTCAGATCGTGTGCTTTGCTGCTCTGGATGCTGGGCTCGTTTCGGACAAGCTGAGGTTAATCTCCACGAGCAGAGCTAGCATTTGATGACACAGTGGTTTTCTGCCTCTTTGACACACCAACCCTAAAAACAAAAGAAATCCTGGGTGTGATCGCACAAAATGGTGCTTAATATACAGTTACTGTACTGTGGTTTAACAACAGACTGTATTATACAGCTTCTCATATATTTTTACTAGACCCAGTGAAAAAAATCAGGAATATGTCTTTGCTTTGTTAGCTATTTTCCACTGTGTGTCCACAGCCTAATATAAACGTAATTTTTCTCAATTTTTTTTAACATTTGCTTTTGCACTGCCACACATGTTTGGTGTTTGTTTGGTTGTTTTTTCTTTCAGGTTGTATAACCAGTCATGTGAGGAGGAGCTGTATTTGCAGAGCGGGCCATCCTTGTGCTGCACACTAGACAATGTACCTCTCATCAGGTCAGTGAGATGGAGTCGTACCTCATGTCCGTCTCTTCTCTGCCCCTTTGCTTCTGCTGAGTCAGAACAGGAACACTGTCCCATTGTTTTGCGTGACCCCTGTCGGCACATTGTTGATTTAAAAAGAAAAAAAGCGAGTGAGGAGAATGAGACGTTTCTTCTGTGTGTGTGTGTGTGTGTGCATTCTGAAAATAACTTGTGGCAGAAATATCCTGCCTGCCACCGTGGCAGTTTGGAGGCAAAACACGGGCCTACGTTCAGCCATGTAAACACACATACGCACACGGAGGAGTCGGCTTACAGTCCAGAGGAAATCAAGACACTCCTGCTTCTTTGTTTGGGTTTTTGGCCCTCTCAGCTTTCAACATCAAAGACATGTTGTACCACATAGCCACAGTGGCTTTCATTTAACAAAAAAACAAAGCATAAAAAAAAGGAAAACCAGAAAAGATAATATGCAGCGATAATGACCCCACCACCACCACCACCTCTACAAATCAAGTGTGCAGCTACAGTTTAACACAGAAAATTAATCTTTAATATAGCAGCGCTGTTGTTGCTAAGCAGTCGAAGCAGAGAAGGTGGAAGAAGCATTTTTCTTAATCTGTGTTAAATGTCGCTCTGTTGGGTAAAAATAAAACGGACCTTCGAACAAGCCATAGATGAAAAAATTGTTTAAAATGTATTCATGTCAGCTTTAGTCTAATGAATGGTGCGTTTTGATCCATGTAGTGAAGAATGTGTGTATGACTTGAGTCAGCTGAGAGGACTTTGGCTTCAATGGGAGTCTGGGCACAGACAGCCAGTGTTGACTGTCTCTGAGTTTTCCCTCCTACAAACATTTCCCATTCGTAGAATAAAAGCAGCAAGCAGTAGGTGAAAAGTCAAACACTTGACTTCAGGATGTGAGGAACAGCCATAGAGTACCTCTGGATGCGTTGATGGTTGGAGGTGTAGGCAGTGGTGCATTGTTTTGCGGTATTGCTCTGATGGTTTTCTTGTAATTGTTTCTTGCAGTAAATGTGGGACTCTTCCTCCTGAGAGCTGCTTCTTCAGCCTTATCTGCAGCACGGGCTCATTCATGGGTAAGGCATCATAAGGCATGGCTCAGGACACATTAGACTGACTTATATTAACTGTGTAAACCAGCAAGCTAAAATTTCAAGACACACCTGCAGGGCAGCCAGGTCAACAAATGAATGTACATAAGCATATTTATTGAAGTAGACACATTGTATTTCCCATTGTAGAAATAGAAAAAGGAAGGGGCTTGTTTGCCTAACAATGGTAAGATCCCCGGTTTGATTCCTGGAGATGACACAAATCCCTTTGGGTTTGTTTCAGGAAGGGTGTAAAAGTCAGTCAGATTAAACATGTGAAGCTGCCCAATGTGGCGACCCCCCCCCCCTGTGAATAAGAGAGAAGCTGAAAGCAAAAATTAGCTGTAATACAGAACAAGTCCGAACACAGATGCAAAGAAAACACTTGTGTCTGAAAGAAAGAATGAGCTCTCAATTGCTGGTCTGCATGTTTTCTGGGAGTCTCTACATGTGCTGCTGCCCTCCGTTCACTGGTGGCTTCGACTGGCCCGATCTTGATAATGTTTTCCAGCTGTGGTTAATTTTCTAGCTGTGTGTAAAACGTTACTGTGCTTTGTTTTTATCCAAGCCTCTAGCAGCTATTTTTCTGTCTGACTGTGAGACTCTGGACATTGTGAGCTGTCTTTTTGAGATGCAAATTGTAGCTCTGGTCTTTGCTTGTGACAAGAATGGAGGAACTTTGCAGCATTGTATACTGTATGTGTACACAATGCTGAAAAAGGAGGCAGATGGTTGCATTTCAGGAGCTGCCCTTGTGTACTTACAGGCTTTTTCCAGGCTCTTAACAGACCCATTAGGTGGTGAATACACACCTGAGTACAACTGCTGCACACATAGTCAAAGAAGTATTTCTATTATCTGATAAAGAAAAGTATATTGTTTGCTTGAGTAAATTTGACCCCACTTTTGAAAATCTTTTGCAACCTGATTTTCCTTTAGAGGGAGGTTATATGCATAAAAAAACACTGAGAATCTTTAAAATCGGTACATAATATTATTGGTGTCAGAGAAACACACCTTGGCTAAACACTGCCCTTTGATTTTTGTGTTTTATTTCACGGGTAAATTATGTGGCAGTGAGAAAATGTTGCAACCACTGTTGCTTCATCACGATGATGGATTTTATCTGGCTTAGTTAAGATGTAGCTCTGTAACTTTTGTTTGAAACATGTTTACCTAGAATGACTCTTTCATAATATGTATGCAGTATAAGTGTGCACCACTTCCGCGCACAGTGACTGTTAAACAGCTTTCATGTAAATTTCTTAGTTCCTCTTCCTTGTGAATGAAGTTTCTCTTGCGCTCATTGTTAGTCACCCACCAAACCATCAGTGACAGCAACCAAAAGAAAAGATGTCTTAGAAAGTACATAGTGAGTAAAAGAAACAAATCCCTTTTCATTGTGAAAGGATAAAAGCTTGTATCTCTGTCTTTGTCATAAATGTGTTTTGAGATATTAGAGACGCACATTTTCCTCCCAGTTACATAAAATGTCAGCTAATATTTTGTTTTCATTAGAAAACATAACTTGAGCTGAATCACTTAAGGAAGTGGGAAAATGAGCATGTCAACATGTTTCAGATTTTGATATTTGCTGTTTTCTTTGTTTTCCATGACAGTAAGCTGATTATATTTCTAATTAAGATAATTTAATATGACCGCTCAATAAGTAATTTCAGTGAAACACTCCACCTTCATCCATTAAAGTGTTTTTTGGAGAGCTAATGACAGTTGGGAATTGAAATTCTGCATAATTCCTTCATAATTTCCTCTGCATTTCTATTCTTTTTTTTAAAAACAACATAAAAAATTGAGATTTAAGGACCCTCAACCTTGATGTTATTGTAAGTGATGTATCGCTGCTGCATTTGATTAAAAATTATCCATCACATCCTTTTAACTGAGTTCAGTTGCACTTTCACCCACTCGGGTGAATCTGTGAGGTTTGGAAGGTTTAATTTTCAAATTTTTGGCTGCATTTTTCTCCCCCTTTGCAATCCCATCAGTCTGTATGTTAATACTGTTTATAAAGCTACCTCTTTTGTCTATACATAAGTATGTAAAGCTGATGTGGTATGTAGCTATACAACACTATTTTAAATATTGCGTGCTTAGCTAGTAGCTCATTGATTCATGTTTTACTTGGAAGGCTGTGTCTGCTATAGTTGGCTGCAGGTGTCACTTCCAAAAGGAGTAACATGAACTTGGAGAATTTTATATCGCCCTGTAATTGTTTTTTCTCCTTTTCAGTTCAGTTCCCACTTTTCTGCCAGTGTACACACAAAACATTTGAAAGACAATACATGCATTCTCTGTCTGCATACCTTCTGTGGGAGACGGTGAAATGTTGTGTTTGGGTTGAAATATAGCCCCTTGTATGGGTGGCAAGGTTTTTTCTACTGTGAGGTGCGAGTGCCGCTGGGTAATAAGCACTTTATTAATGCCCATCAGTTTTAGTGTTAACTCAGCCCTGCGTATGTGAATGCAAAGGCACATGCAGGGCTATGTATGCATGAGAGATTGTCCACCTTGTTGCAAGTATACATGCAAGATAGAAGTAGTGTGTGAGTCAGTGTCTGTGGGAGCACTTTACTTCCTGCACTGGGCTTCCTGACTTCAGAGCAAACAGCATGAACTTGTAAAGGGCTGCTCTGTGGAAGGTAACAAAGTATTGGAACAGTGTTAGGTGCTGTTGCATGGCATCCTTGGGTAAAATAAGCTGTCACACTGCAGCTTGTTGTGACCTTCGAGTCCAGGTGGCGCTTATGAATGGGACATGAAGCCCTTACGCTGGAGGAGGCCATGACTTTACTAAACATGCATCATCTGACAAGGATACCAAAAAAAATGCCCACACAAATGTGCCCAGAATAGAAGAAGAAACACTGATTTCCTATAGAGAGAAGCTGCTTGTCCTTGTCTTTAACCTTCAGGCGTAGCTTTCATCATTCCAGGATGACTGCACAATGCCAACAAGTTTAAACACGCTCATTTGTTATGATGAAACACACATTTAGTTGAAACAGAAAAGAATCCACCAGCAGCCAGTCTGCAGCAGGGTGAACGAGGCGCTTTAATCTAATGAAAAAGCTGCAGCCGACTTTCCTTTCCCTTCAGCAATACAGCATGTTCTCCATTATAAAAAGGAGCCAATGAGCAGACTGTTTCCGTGCCCGGAGACACAGTTGTTTGTTTTTCCGTGATTGTAACTGAAATCACTTTTGCCGAGTTGATTTGGGTACAGAAGGATGAAACAGAAGAAAGCTCGCACAAACACAGATACACACAAGTTAGAGCTAGTGAATATAAAAACATAAATAAATCATTAATTCGTTTTTTTAATAGCATTACATAACCATGTCTTGGTCTTGCTTGTACCAATGTTTGCCTTTAAGGTTTAAACAAATGTTTTTATTATCAGATTTAATAGCAACATTTCAGTGAGCTCATAGTAAACTTTGCAGCTCAGATGGACTTAAAATGAATTCTCCCTCCAAACATCACATTAAAACAGAATGGTTAACATAACGGTGGGAACTTTGCACTATTGTTCTAACAGGAAATTATGCAAGACATAATTTCTCAACATGTGATGCTGAACTCTCTCTATAAATCATATACATACCTAAGCTGTGTGGATGTGTAACTATGAAAAGATTGGCAAACAAAAAAAAAAAAAAAGCTGAAGGCCTTTTTTAAAATCTTTTTTTTTTCCGTTTGGGCAGAACATTAATAAAATGTAGTATAACTATAATCATGAGTGACTTGGCTGTTGCAGTAGTGTATTATTTTGTGTGTTTTTTTAATGAAAAACATTCTTTTAATATCATCTTCTTATCTTTGCAGCTTGCTGGTGACTCATTTTTCACCCTAGTTTTGCGGCAATTGTGGTGTGGTGACTTCCCCTCAGTAATTTATCCTCAGCATGAGCCAAACAACTATCATCTGGAAGCTTTGCTGTTGTTGTCAAAATCAGAAAATGATGTGAAATATGCATGGCTGATTTTTTAACAGCTGCGAAGAAAAGGTCGCTTTAAAACAAAAGATCAGGCCTGGAATCAATAATTTCTACTGCTTCATCCTGAGGTTGTGGCCGGGCTATAAAATGTGTCCGCTCACTGAGACGCTACTTAAAGCCAGACACGTCACGGCATAGACAAACCCTGGAGACAAAGCTTCAGAGAGGAAGGAAAAATCTATCTATGTAAAGACTCTACGTGGAAATGTTTTTCTTTTCTAGCCATGACCACAGTCTCCATTTGTATTCCCTTTTGGCAGACACAGACCTTCTGAAAAGCTGCCTCTTACACAGACACAGTGACAGAGTTAACATAACACTTTAGTCCCTGGAACAATATATAAGCGTCAGGTCAAGACATGAGGGGCTCCTTGTCCTCACTAATTCTCCCACCCTCCACTTTTCACTCTCCCCATATGCCCCGCTTTCTCCAAGCCCAGTCAGCCTTCATCAGGCACCAGCTGTGAGGAGCCAACAAAGAGAACCCAAATGGGGGTCAGCTCCTCAGTGCTCCAACAATGCACCCAGTCAGAGCTTGTTAGCACATCGGTACTCATCTGTCCCATATACTGTACTTCTTTCCCCTTCACCTTTTAATCGTATGTAGGTTTGGATCGACCCCCCCACCAAGATATCCTTCTCACTTTCCCGCCATTTTCTGCTTCTCATAGTTTTGAGTCAGAGAAGCTGCTTAACATCTCTGATTTCCTGTAATATAGCTTTCAGGGAGTTCATGTATTTCTTGGCTAAGTGACGTGAGAGAGTGTTTGCGTTAAATTGAAGCCAGGCACTTTTGTATGATAGTCGTCCAAAAAAAGCCAGATGATGCCTTTTCTCCATTTCTTGCATGCAGTGACTTTCATCTCCCTTCTTTTAGTGATGGTGATTGTGCTGCTTCGCTACGCCCACGTCATTGAGAAGCATCAAAACTGTGTCCTGAACACGGCGAGTCTTTGCACGGGCTGGATCTGTGGTGCTGGACTCATCATGGTGGGCAACTTCCAGGTACGGTCTTCTAGTTTTTTTAACAATAAAACACAGAGAGGTCGCTGTAAATGCTGATGAAGACAAAGATTTATGGATACCCAAAGAAATTGTATTCAGCATGGGAAATAGTGAAATTAAACACACAGAGACTGAGGCTTCTGTTGTGTAGTCCTAGAGACTGGCTGGCAACCCTTTTGCAACCTCTGGTCACTCAGGAAAAATGTGTATTTCTTGACTGGTTGGTGATTGGATGTTGGGTACAGTTTCTCACAAAGAGTCTGCTGCACCAAAAGCGTCCTTGTAATTACTTGGGTCGCTAATGTAGCTGCAATTATTTATAGTTCGAAGAAAAGTTGCCAACTTGTTCTCAAACACTCACCAGCTATTAGTCAAGCTATAGTCAAAAATGTGTTGCACCTTTTCATGTGAAAAGTGGGGTTAGTGCCACACTTTTCATAGCTTCATTACCGGTCTTAGAGTAGTTGGCGGATATATGAGGACAAGTCGGCATCTTCCAAGCAGGTTGCGGGCAATAGCAGATGCAATCTCAAGGAGGTTTTTTTGGTGCAGCAGACTCTTTGCTGGGTGAAATTGGTCACAACCTCCAGCAACTACATGCCAGCTGGTTGTAAAAAAGCTTTGATGTTCAGATAAAATGTCCAAAATATCTCTGGTTCCTGTTTCATTAATATAATGAGTCATTTCCTTTTGCTAAATGGTGTGGCATGGCTTCATCTCTAGTAAATTCTTTTACACAGCCAAGAAAATAATCTGCTGTATAATCTTTAACATGTCTTTGTTTAACCTGGCTCTTTTTAGGAGTCTTTCTCTTTGCTTCTTTCCATCAATCCTTTTATTTGAGATTAAACACACCTCAATGTTTGTAATGTTAACTTCTTCCTTCATCAGCACAATACTGTTCACAATAATCCTCTTTCTTTGGTCCTAAAACTTCAAGTGAAGAAACTCAACGTGAATTCCTTCTTCTGTTCTCTGGGAAAGAATTTCTTGAAGTTTAAATATTTAGAGCTCTGGCTGGATGCCTAGACAGTGTGTGTGTGTGTGTGTGTGTATGTGTATTAGTACTACCTTTGCTGCGTGGACAGAACTCTGTTTAGACAGTAACATTGTTACGACCGCTTCAAAGAAAGCGTGCATAATGTCAACTGTTGAGTTTTTGGTTAAAAGTCAGCGTACGTGTCAGATTCAGGAAGTGGTCACGGTTAGGGTAAGAAAAGTAAGATCATTTAACGTCCTCTGAGGGGAGGTTATTTTGGTGTTTGACGCTGGGCTGGATATCACTGCAAAATCTTGTTACCATGCTTTAAAAAGGCCGAGATAGTTCATGGGAAAATAAAGAGGGAGAGACAGCCACGGAGAAGGCATTTGATGCTATATTCAGAGTAAAGAGAGGAGCAAAAGTTTTGAAAGAAAATTTGGGTTGTGTTGAAGTAAAGTGAAGTTTCTTAGAGTGTAATATTTCTACAGATGTGACTATTTGGTTAAATTTGATTGTTTGACATGTTAGAGTCTCGGCTCTTTTTACATACTCCTCTTACAAGAGTTGTGTATGTGCGTATTGGAGCAGATTTGCAGATGTGGCAGTTCATGCGAGGGTGTAGTAACGGCAACCTCACCTTCTTCCCGCTTTTCCTATGAGGCTCGAGCTCTGCAGAACAGGGAGGAATTTTACGAGAAGAGCCAGGGGGAAGTGAGTCATCAAGTCTGGCCATGCATGGAGAGGAGCTAGGCAGACAGGGTGTGTGTAACAGATGCCCCATCTATAACCAATCACGAGCCTGATCCCTGCAGCCCGCCTCACACACTGCCCTCTCTTGAAGTTCAGGACATTACACAAACCCGCATTTTTAGCATCGAAAACACGTGTACTCAGGATCCACTGGCAAATGCCACAAACAAGTTTGACTCAGAGAAGAGGGAGCAGAGCAGGATTCTGACAGTCAAAATCGAAACAGATCAAAGAAAGCGCAAGAAACACAACACATGGCAGCGTAATCAGCCACATCAACTGCTTGAGCGCATAGTTGTGCGTTACATAAGCCTTTGGCAGTACAGCTGTGGTGTGGTGGAGCCTCGGGGACTTTTCCCGTCAAGCGATCTGATGATCTGGGAAGAGAAGTACATGAATTGTTGACGGAGAAGCACATTACTGCCACACAGAGGTGCCTGAGTGTGACACAGCTGCATGGAAAGCAGCTGTCAGGAAAACAAAGAGAAAAGAAAAAGGAGTAGAAAAGTTCGTTGGACTGCTAATCTGGATGAAAAAGACTGATACCACCTACAGTCTGAAGGTATTTCCAATCTTATTTGGCTGGAAGATGTCACGCAAATCAGGAACATTGTCTGAAGTCGCACACCAGTTCCTCACTTAAAACACGATGGTGTTTCATTCTTCTCTGTTTTTTTCTAAAAGCTCTGGTTTTCAGGTGATGTCGAAAGGGCCGTTGTAATCGGTGGTGGTGCCACTTTCAGTTACAGATTTTCACAGCCATTGTGTATGTCCCGCACAACGGAGGCGAGTCGGTAAAGTCGGTATGTTTCAGTTCATCTCATTTAGTTCTGTTTCCAGAAAATGAAAATAGAGAAAAAAAACAAAGTTAGGCTTGTTCCCATAGAAACATCGTCACAGTGTTTATCTACCTCACAAAGTAGCAGTACCTGACTGCTACTTTGTGAAATATCACAGGTGCAGCTCAATAGTGTGCTGAATTTAGCTGCGGAAAACTCCCTAATGAAGGCAGGAGCTCAGAGTGGTTTCAGATAAATATGTGTAGCTATAATAAGAGCTGTTGCTCTTAAGTGCCGCCCAGTCTTCTCTTTATTCTCATTTCCTTCCTTATGCTTTCCCTGTTTGATGTTACACTGCTTTTCACTGCCACACTTTGCTCACTTCAGTGTGCTCACAATCTGCTAATATTGCACCTATATATATTAGCGGCATACATTACCTGGCTGTGATTAGCAGTGATCAGTTGATAGCGTAAACAAACAGGTATTAGTGATTGAATCTGGCACTCCTGGCTGCACACACTCACTCACACACATGCACACAATCAATAGAGCTCACTGTGCAGTGTATGAATTGAGTCTGCAGCCAACACCAGGCGATCGACCTGCCAAATGATAAAAAACGTGCCGTCACAAAGTCAAAGTGATTTTCTCATTAAATAACATAAACCATTATTTCACTTCACAATACTTTGGATCAGAATCTTTATCAATACTGATTTACTGATTAAACTTTTGCAGCTCTAGCGTGGAAAATAGATTAGTCAGAAGAAAATGAAGTTGTTGATGTGTGTCCAGAGGTGGAGGTGCCACACTAGAGTAGAAGAAATTGGATTTATTTTACTGTGTGAGAGCTTTACAGCAGATCTCAACTGTTCAAAACTTTTCTTATGCAAGTCTTACATTGCCACTTCAAGGATCAGCCTACTACACAAGAATGTTCAGCATGTACTGACCAGGCCAATGGACAAATGGCTTAGATACCAAACTTTGAGGCTGTTGCTGTAATGATCCTGGAAAATGATAACAAATAGCAGAATTTATACATCTGGCATTAACCATGAAACTATTGTTTTTTATCTGAGCAAATCAGTCAAGTCGTTTAATGTGTCCCTAGCTCAAGTTAATGTACCACAAGATCTCTTATCTACTCAGTTCAGTGTGTGTGTGTGTGTGTGTGTGGACCCTTCAGTGGGAGCTGTAGTCACATGCTCCTGAGCGGCTCTTTTGTGTATTGTTTCTTGTTGTTCTTGTGACCAGCAGGGAAAAGGAGGCATTCTGTCGTGTTTCTTGCTGCTGTTGCCTCCTGTACGTTTGCCTTTTGTGTTTCTTTTTTTTCTTTTCCCTTTTTACTTAAAGAATCGTAAGAAGCTTCGACCAGAGTTTTAAATACCACCGAAACTGGGCGATGGGACCACTTCCTGAATTTGCCCACGTCACATTCACTAGATGTTTTTATTTTGTGTTACATCTTTGCGTCAACCCTTTAAATGGCTCCCTTACCTTCTCTTCCTGTTTTCTGTCCTTATATCACAGGTGGATAATGCTAAAATTCTCCACTATGTTGGAGCAGGCATTGCCTTTCCCACCAGTATGCTGTTTGTGTGCCTGCAGTCAGCGCTGACGTACCGACTGGCCAAAACCCAAGGGGAGTACAACTTGGCCCACCTCCGGCTCTGCATGACCCTGCTGGCCTTCGTAGCCTTGGTGCTCAGTATCCTTTCCAGCCTCTACAGATGGCTGCCCTGAAGCTTAAGGGACTAAGCATCCCCTTTGACCTCTTTTCATCAGATATTTTTATTTATTATTTCATGCAGTTAGTCCTTGGCACCTCTTTAGCAATGACATAAAACAGCAAGAGTTTTTAACTCTATAATTGCGCGATACAGTGACCTTTTTACCAGATATTAATGTAGTGCATTAACGCCAGTCTCGTGTCTGCTTCAGACAGTTTTGGAAGCACGCAGCAGGAAATCTTGGCGCACTCCAGCATATTTCATAGTAGGATGTGGAAGATTAAAGACCGACTTAAGTCCGTTCCAATATGTCTGTCAGCTGATATCCATCTAGAGAAGTTACAGTGCATGTGGGAAAAACATATTAGCCTGACTTACAGTACAGATATACAGTAGCTGTAGCCTGGGCCTGTCTCTTCATGGGTAACATAATCAACATGTGAGCACTTGTAAAGCTCGCTAATTAACTCATTGTGTCTTGTTTACTTAACCTGGACAAAAACTGAGTGTTTAATCTGCATCGTGCAGGTGAGTGGGGCCGTGTCCACGACTGCTTCCTGTTGGGGCGTTTCAGCTTTAGGTCCTCGCATTGCTTTGCTGCTGTTTTCCTTAACCGTGTGTTTCAGGTGGTGTTTTTTTCTGTCAGGAGAGCTTCGTCCTGCAACACGCCTCGGCCATCTTCGAATGGGTGTTCTGCATCATCATCATGCTTTTTTATGGGACTTTTGCCTTCGAGTTTTCCGGCATGTCAGGAGATACAATGGTGGTGCTGGCGAGAGGAGGCTCCCTGGGACCTGCTGGGAGAGAACACAAGATGGATGCGCTGGGAGGGCCCGGTTTGCACTCACAACCACATCCACACCAACCTGAAAGTATGTCCATGCTGTAGCCTCCTGGCACACGTTGATGCCACACAGTTGCCTCATTTTATTCCTTTCCAACTCTAGTCTGAATTATTCATTTCCAGCCGTGTTCGTCTGAAGGTTTGAAATGAACCAGGCCAGCGCAGCAGCCGTTCAGAGCGGGCGTAGCTCTGCTGCAGTTTATACTTACGTCAAACTTTGTGTCTCTGAAGAACTTGTTTGCATTTTGCACATTGCACAGGCGTGCAAAACCAAATTTTCTCCCTGCTCATGGCTGTGCTCCGTGACCATCAGAGGAGCGTTTTGGGAATCAGATCATGGAGTTCTTGTGAATCCGATGGCCTCGGATTCAGATGACTGCCGCGATGCGTTCAGAGTGTGTAAGAAGTGAAGGCTGCTGGACAGCCCAGCTGACAGTATTACAGTGGGAAGGTGTCACAGTGTTTCAATCCTGGAAACAGAACAGGGCGGCAGTTTGCATTTTTCATCACGTAAACCTCTGTTAAGCAATATTTTTGATGTTAAGTCACGTCTTTGTAATTAACACCCTACACTGTATAGATCTTCTTTTGTTTTTTACTGTTTTGGTTATTCATTCTGCATACTCATCTGCACATTACCTCCCTTCCAAAGCCACGTGTAAAGCTAAAATATTTCTGTGGAGCTGGTTGACCAAAGCTAATCAGAAATAATATTATCTGGTGGACATCAGAGTAGTTCTGAGCTCTGCTGTGCATCTCATGAGCTTGCATTTAGATACGAGTGTCATTTTGTTTAAAATGCCTATTGCAGCATTAAAGTTTGTGCCATATATGCAAGCCTAATATTGCTGTTAAAGTATCAGACCGCATGGACTTATTGTTTCCGGACTATTCGGGTGACGTTTCATATGTCTTTATTTAAACTGTGTTAAAAAATTCAGTGAGCTCTGAGTCACATAAATCTTCTAATTAAGACTGAAAAAATACACCCTTCCCCATTCTTCTTGGGATCCATAGACTAGATCAATGCTCAGCTCTTAAATAATGCTGGATTGAACTCCTTCTCTGTAAAAGAATATGAGGGAGAGGTGACACAGTGTCGAGAGGCCAAATATGTACCAGCTAATTCAATCCAGAGCACTGGCTTTATTGAGTTTAGTGACGGGGCATTACACGTGTCTTCAGGTCCTGTATGCAGAGGTCTGCATCTTATTATTCCCACATGCAGGAGGAGGAGAACATGTTCTTATTGCTTTAGCTGTTTCCTTTTTTTGTGAAGCTGGAAACTTCGCACAGGTGGAGATGTTTCAGCACGTCAAGCTGGTGTGGTGGGATAAAGGGAAAAGGATTTGTATAATGTAAGACATGGTGGAGATGGACTGTCCTGCTTCAGTGTTAACGTGTTATTTTTCAGTATGTGCCAAATACAAGTCTGCCTATGGCATTGGTGCTAATACACAAATAGGCCTTACCTTGTTGTTTTCCCTTACTTCAGTTGTGATTACGGCAAAGCAATAAGAAGAGACATGAGGTAAATCGGTGACTCTGAGAGTGAGAGCAGGGACAGAAGGTTAGCAATACCAGCACGTGGAGAAATGCTCCATGCTTGCTAACATCTGTGCATAATTTTCTCAAGCTTTGAGGAGGCAGAGGCTTTACAACAGTAGTAATTTAATTAATTGGCCATCAGCACATCTGGCCACATGTCGAGCTGAGATGTTGTTTGTGTAATTTGTCTGCTAATTCACAGTATGTTACTGAAAGTAGTTATTCACTATCAGGCTGAATGTATCAGACTAACTGAACTAGAGTGATGGGGAAGCCTGCGCACGCTGCTCTGAGGACGGAGCTGAAAGCGACACCAGCTGCAACACTGAGCACTTGCTTCTCTCTGCTGGTCACACTGCTTATTGCATGTGTTAAGCTCACATGAGGGGTTTTTTTTTCTACTTGAAAAATTGTCCGTTTTTTCTGCCCACAGTCAGAATACTAAGACCAACTAATGTTTTTATCCTTTTATTTCATAAAGGTGGAGGCTCAACTCCAGCCTGAGCTTCTGCCTGCGACAGTATGAGGTTCCTCTGAGAAACCACATTAAACATTCAATACATTTGAAACGTTCACTAAAATAATGGTGCTAATCATTTCACATTTACTTAAAGTACTTAATCCGACGTCATGGTTTGTGAATATTCCCTATTTCTAGCTGACCACTACAAAAAAAAGAAACATTTCTTTTAAATCTTCACATTCGCCATCATTCTCTTCATTTCATACCTCATTCTTCCTCAATTATGGATCTATCTGATCTCTACACTCAGGAAAACATTACCACACCAGCTGTGTTCTTTGATTCAAGGCCTTTGGCTTTCTGCCGTCTTTGTTTAAATTGCATTTTTGTCAATGGGATTCCTTGTGTACATTTGTTTCTTTGTGTAGTATAGGTGCAGCTGTAAGACTGGTGATTAGCCATGACGTAATAGATTATTTTTGCTAATCAAGACTCTGTTAAATGTGCGAGAAAACTTAGCTCACTCGTGCAATCGAGATCATTGGTGAGAGCCTTCTGACTAACAAGAACCCAACACTCCTCACAGCACCCCACTCTCAGTTACACAGCTCCCTGTGCCTTATGTGCTGTTTTGATCATGGAAACCAAAGAGGTCACAGTTGTAAATCCTATTTTGATGAAGAGTCATATGATTGTATCCATTTATGCCTTAATATTCAACAAATAAAAACAAAAAAGCCAAAAAACAAAAAACAGCAAAGGTTGAATCCCAGTGGCTTCATTACATAACATGAGCACAAAGAACCAGACAGCGGTTCTCTAATCTTTTTTTTATTGTTTAATTATTTACATTATCCAGTTTCATTGACAGAAGGTGACACTCATAGATAAGACATTAAACAGAGGAAAACTCCTATAACAAAACAGTGTCTGCTGTAGGTGAACTTACAGGTTTGGTACACTCGCCACCAAAACGTCCTGAAGCTCTACAGACTGTTTTTTGTTTCTCTCTTAAGACTTTCTTAATCCCATCAGAAGTGCTTCTCAAGGATCTAATTACATACTCTGTCATTAATAAATGCCAAAAAGCTGGGCCAAAATGAAATATTCTTAAAGGTATTTTTTAAAGAAGTGTGATATATGCTAGCGTGTGCTTCTAAAGTTGTAAAACACAGCAAATTTAAGACATCGGTGGTCCGCTAAATGCTAACGGATTCAGACTAAGATTCAGACTTCTAATTATTTGCTAAGTTGAGCCACATTTACAGCAGAAAGCCCGCAGGTACTAAAGGAAAAAAAAAGAAAGGCTGAAATAGCCGCAAGGCTATTTTACATTTTGACTTATAATTTATGCCTCCAGAGATCCGAACTTGACCTGTTATCTCACACAGTGGGAATGGTAGTAGTGCAAACAGCTTCCTGTGCCACGTTTACAACAGTTTTTTATAGTCATGACAATACGGTTTCTTAAGCCACGTTTTTGGTTGAGCAGTAGCTACACCTCTTACAATAATATGGCAGCCACTGAGGGAATACACATTTTGTAATAGCACCTTTTAAGAATAAAGCACTGAACTTGTGTAAGTATACTGCCCCCCCCCCCAAGCTTTGAGGTAAAACACTGCTGCTAGTGATGTGGAGGTATTTATATTTTACTATTGTACTGTCCCTTTACTTTACTGACTTTGACTAGTGATTGTATGTGTATTTTTAAAGCACCGATACCTGGAGGTTATTTGGCCTCGGAAAGGACAGTGAAAAAAGATTAGTTACTGAGATGCCATCTGCAATGTCCCTCTCCTCACTGGGAGGATGTCCCTTCATATGTCTGCTGGCTACAACTGCTCACACGTATAACTACCTTCTCACATCTTGAAAGCTGACTTATCCCTCCCTAACTGTGGTTTCAGTTGTTTTGTTTTGTTTTTCTGTTAAAAAAGTGTTCAATCAGTTGCATTGGAGCTGGAAGTTGTAGTCCATGAAGAGGAGTCTTGTTCAGCATCCAGGTGGAGATCAGGACAGGCTGGTGGAGTATTTACAAGACAAGCTTTTTGGGCACTTCCCAAGAAAACTCCGGTCGGCCAAAGTGGCCGTAAGAGGCTGTCTGCTGGTAAATCGGCCTCTTCAGGTTCAGATCCCTAAGAAGAACACACAAGGGATGAGACATCGCTGGTGAGAAAGGACTGTGAAGATTTTGATCAAAACCATTTGAAGCCATAAATTCTTATACAGAGCAGAAAAAAACCATAAAGGTGAAACATGTTGTGCAATGAGCTGTAAGCACTGATTGTTTGCATGTCCTCTTGTGAGCTTGGAGTTTTTTGTTTGTATTTGGCGTACATGGGTGGCAAAGTTTGTCTGTGTGTCAGAATGGCTTGTACTGCACTTTGGACCAACCTCCAACATTTATCGATTACAGAACTCTTAAACACTTGAACCAAAATGAAGTCATTGGTTATGCGGCTCTTAACAATTAACGATTTTGGTAAATCAATTAAAAGTAGTTGTTATTGTTGAGTACTTTAAATTGGGTACTTTAAGTGCTTTAAGTTACTTAAAGTTACTGTGCTTTAAGTTACTTTCTGTTATATATATATATATATATGCTGTTACAATGATGAATGTTCATATTAGTAAAACATCTCAAAACACAACTTTCTTCTTGTTTTGCTCTGTACTATATCAGTTAGAGTGGATGCTGTGTTCCTGTTGGAGGGGCAGCCAATCAAAAGAAAGAGGATGAACTAAAGGGCTGCACCAAAGCTTATTATCAAATAAATCATTATTTTTATATGTGAATCATGCAACGCTACATTAGTAGAGTGAAGATGGAAAAAACAAACAAACAGCATAATAGATCCACTTTAAAATGAAATGCTCACCTATAACGCTGCATCTCAACAAGAACATTATAATAGAAAAGGGAAATCTAGGGCTAGCTTTAAATAGAGGGAAATTATCCTAAAAGGATCAGCTAAAAGTGGAAGAATCTAAATGTAAAAGGACAGCAAAAAGGATATCATGTCTGTGAAGCCACCCGGCGGGTTATGCGTCCACCACGATTCCCTCTCCAATGGATAGTATTAAAAAAAAGAAAAGAAAAGAGGAAGAATTTTCTGTATCTAACTATACTTCAACAATTTCAACTTTGATTTTTGGTGTGATTCTCTCTTAGTTTGCTTCTCTTTCCCCTCTTCCCCTGCCCCTCCCCGAGCCTGGTTCTGCTGGAGGTTTCTTCCTGTTGAAAGGGAGTTCTTCCTTCACCCTGTCGCCAAATGCTTGGTCATTGTTAGGGGTCTTTCTAATATTGTATGGTCTTTAACTTACAGAATAAAGGACCTTGAGGCAACTGTTATTGTGAATTGGAGCTATATAAATAAAGTTGAACTGAAGTTTGAACTTAAATATTGACTTATATATTAAATTCATGTAAATGTTGCTGAACTGTACAATCAAAACTGCTCCCAACAATCATAGATGTTTACATCTGCGCTGTAACTGCAATAATTTAATCAACCGATTCGCACTACAACCTGGGTTTTCCTCTTATCTGTAGTTTATTTTATTTTATTTAATAACTGTACAGTACTCGTGTTTATAGTAACCATTGTCCTTGATGTAAATATGTAAAGAAAAAAAATTGTGTATGTTTCTGTTCTGTGTACTGTTTGTTTGTATATGTGTCTTTCTGGCTGCTGTTACAACCAAATTTCCCCTTGTGGGACAATTAAAGGATTATTCTATTCTATTGTATTCTATTCTAAATTCATCAAGATATATGATGAATCTGATTTTTGATCAGTTATTTAATCCTCAAAATGCCAAAAATAGTTCCTAATTTTTTTTTACTCTTATTTAGAAAGCAAGCAGAACATCTTCATGTTTGAGTAAATATTCATATTTAATCTTATGCAAACGTCATGTTTATGTGTTTTTACCTGACAATGACTCCTGGCCTGAGATCAAAGTTCTTGTTGACAATCTTGAGCAATTCTGACTCTGACTTCTGAGAGGACCCGTAGGTGAACAAGGAGATGGAAAGAGGTTGGGCCACTCCGATCGCATAAGACACCTGGAACACACACAGAGATGTGGTTTGCATATTTGTACTGTACTCCAGTCATCTGTCATCTATGCACAGCTTTGGAGGGTTAAGCTGTAACTTCACCTGAACCAGAACTCTCCTGCACAGTTTGGCTTTAACCAGAGACTTGGCCACCCAGCGAGCAGCATAGGCAGCAGAGCGATCAACCTTTGAGAAATCTTTGCCAGAGAAAGCTCCGCCACCGTGAGCCCCCCAGCCACCGTATGTGTCTACAATAATCTTCCTTCCTGTTACACCAGCATCACCCTGTTTGCAAAAAAAGGAAGAAGATGAGCAAAAACCAGTGATGACTTTCTAGTTTGCTTTATTATTTTCCCCCAGTGTGTGATGATTACCTGTGGTCCTCCAATGACGAAGCGACCACTTGGCTGGAGATGGTAGACGGTTTTGCTGTCCAAATATTTTGCAGGGACCACGGATTTGATCACCTGACAGAAACAAGCCAGCATTAAAACCAAACATGTGACTTTATTTCCCACACGACACATTACACAGAGCCCAGTCAGGTGTGTTCATGAGGATCTACCATTTCCATTAGGACTCTCTGTTGTTCCTCCAGAGTGACGCCGTCATCGTGCTGGACAGAGATCACAATGGTGTGAACTCTCTTGGGGATCACAGCTCCATTCTTCTGGTCATAATGCACGGTCACCTGTGGGATTAACAAGAATTGGTACACTCACTGAAGCTGTAGTTAGCTGTTTTATGGTGCCTGTGACAACACAGCTTCAGACAGGTTATCAGATTTTCTAATGAAATATATCCAAGCTTGAAAGAAAAAGTTCCCAAACTGCTGTGGTGTTGTGTTTTGGGTAAGTAAAAAATGTTGCACGACCTCACCTGTGTTTTAGAGTCGGCACGCAGCCAGGGAACGATGCCATTGCGTCTAAGTTCAGACATCTTTTCATTGAGTTTGTGAGCTAAGACGATGGTGAGCGGCATGCACTCCTCCGTCTCGTCTGTGGCATAGCCGAACATCAGACCCTACAGAACGAGTCAGAAAATCAGTGAAGGCAAAACAAAGAAGTAAACAAGGAATATCAAAATACTGATATTCAGCATGCTCTTTTATCAGTAATATCTTCAGCACTTTCTATTATCATATGACACAAAATACATAAAATATAAGCTATGAAAAGAACAATAATGGCTAATGGTCATACAGGCATTTATAGAAGACAAAATAGAAGTAGATGTTGAAATGATAAAAACAAATATCAGGTAGATTATACCGTGTATGGTTATGGGACTTTATATATAATATAGTCAAATTACTCCATATTTCATTGATTAGTCTTAAGCATGGGATAATTTTTTTCAGTCAGAAGTCTCTTATAGAAATAATGATCCTGAGCCGTGAGTTTGTCTCTTACTGAGGTATAATGCAGAGAAAGCATCAATTTAATCTAAACATGTTATTTCTTTATCTTTTGCCCAAACTATTAAGGATGATGATGGTGTTACTGATTAAACTACACTGATTCACTCAAGTACTGCACTCATATACAATTGTATAATTTAATAATTTCCTTTCTCTGCTGCATTACACTTCTACTCCACGACATACTGGACATATTTTTTATCATTTTTATCAGATTACTTAAAGACTGTGAGCAATTTCATGAAAAGGAAGTTTCGCCTCTACACATCAAAGTTTTATCCTCAAATTTGTGACCCTTTAAAGAGCCACAAACACTTGGCTGGGGACCCTATTTACTATACTACAATACATTTATTTGCAAAAGTAACATAAACACTTATCGAATCTAATAATGATATATCAGCCACGAAGCACATTTTTCTGCCTTACAATCAGCTTGTAACATTTAGGATTTTAAATATTGGACTAGATAAAACTACTTTTTCCACCTCTACTGAACTGATAAACCTGAACACACCAACACTATTGCACCAGATCTCGTCTGTATTCTCTACTGTTGAAGTAAAGAGTCAAACAAACTGTGCTCGGTCAGGATCACTCACTTGTCAAGCCAAAGTGACCCAGTGACACTGCTGTGGCCCTACCTGGTCTCCAGCTCCAATGTCTTCTTCTTTCCGGTCAACATGGACCCCCTGAGCAATGTCTGGACTCTGCTGCTCCAGGGCCACCAGCACATTACATGTCTTGTAGTCGAAACCTTCAGAAGGGAAGTGAATTGGATTGAGATGGTTAAGAGGGAAACGCTAAATACAGAGAACAGAAATAATGTCTATTTTTTTGCTTTCTCGCCTTTCTCCGAGTTGTCGTAGCCGATGTGCTTGATGGTGTCCCTCACCACCCTCTGATAGTCCACGACGGCCCGAGATGTGATCTCTCCGCAGAGCAACACCATGCCAGTCTTACACACCGTCTCTGCCAACGCAAACTTTAATTACAAAGCTGTTTTGCCATCACCAGCAAGTTGTCAACACTGAAATACAATAAACAGTATCAACACTGCATACGACATAAAATCCAGGTGAAATTCAGACCAGTGGGTTAGTTGGCTTATACTCTGCCTTCATCATGTGGTCCCTTTTTTTGCTAAGACAAACTGATTCATTAGATTGTGCCTCTTCTTAGTTTTGCCATTTTTTTAACAGAAAAAGAGACAAATTCTGGCTCACCACAGGCCACTTTGGCATCGGGATCCTGCTTCAGATGTGCATCCAGGACAGCATCACTGATCTGGTCACAAATCTTGTCTGTGGACACATAACAGGTAAAAACATCAGATTCCGAAGATTTTTTACAAATGCATTGAAAAAAAACGACATATTGCATTTTAAATTGCACGCTTAGCCTAACACTAATAATAGAAGATGTCAATTTTGTAATTTATATGAAAGTATGAAAGGTTACATCCTAATATTTCACATAGCAGTAGTTGAATGTTTTACTTTAGCATGGCAGCAGGGCAATGCCTCACTATACATCCCATTCATCTGTCTGTGTCGTCCTGCTGAAGCAATGCAGGAGACCGGTTACATCAGAAAGCCCATCAGCATCTGACTACTCTGCTGGTGAAACAGGTGCATCTTAGGAAAAGCCACTAAAATAGCCACTATCTGTGGGAACAGCCCAGACTTTGAGTTGTGTTATCAAATTCAAAAGTGTGTACTGCAATGTTCTGCCAAGGCCACCAAACTCTGTTACTGAACAAACAGTAGAAGTAAAACTTCAAACCTGTGAAGTTTATCATTAAAATTGGCTTCAGGAGTGCTACGCGCTTCCAAAATGTAATTTTTTTTTTTTTTAAAAGGACTCTCCTTAAATGATAAATACAGGGACACCATGATGTGTGACACATGGATCTACATCCCTTGCTGTTTCAGAGGACAGTTTGAAAGAGATTTTGAATTCAGGCGCATTGGTATTACCTTTTGTATGCTTCATCCTCTCATAAGCACTTTGACAGATTAGCATACTTTTACTTCAGAACTACATTAATATAGATCCAGATTAAAAGAGCAGTTTTATTTTTTAATTATTTTATTTATTTAATTTTTTAACAGTCGGCATTTATGTGATACTGCCCCTGTCTGTGAAGCTGCACAACTCTTACTCATTATCGATTTAGCACATGGGACTTTGAAAGGTTACATATTTGTGAAAGGATTACAACACATTGACGGGGCACCGTGGGGTTTAAAGGCAACATGGAGGACAGAGTACAACTACAAGTTAAGCAAGGTTTGTGTGGAACATCTGGGAGTCATTTTACTGAGTATTTGATATAATTTAACTAGATTAAAGTATAACATAGTCAAACTAATTTTACCACATTGTCACTTCTTATCTTATTGTGTACTTGAGACATTGTTCTTGAAGAGCATTTTGCGTGTCTTTAGATCTCTTCTTTTGCACACTACATTAAACGTGTGTGTCTGCCCTCTTCTTGGACATTTTTTAAGCATGTAACTGTGCACCAGTCAGACACACATTTGCTTCCAGCTGCCTACAAGTGAGAGTGAAGGCCACTAAACACATGTTGCTGTGAATGGAATACCATCCATGCCTGGCGGGTAAACACGCAGCACTGTGGAGTTACTTTGGACATAGTGTCCAGCTTGCATCAAGTTTATTTATATGCATGCTATTTCTGCAGGATAACACTGCATTTTCAATGGAAGTGTTGAGCTTATAATTGAATGCATTAAAATTTAATGTCACTGTAACAGAGGTGGCTAGACTTTGTAAAAAGACTCACCTGGATGTCCCTCTCCAACGGACTCTGAAGTGAACATGAAAGAACCTTCTTCCAGATGATCACTCATTTTTTCTGTGGGGTAAGGTTATTCAATTTCCAGTGCAGAGAGATCCTAAGGTGGCTTTATATTCCTACTGGCTTTCTTTACCAGAAAGATAAAAGAAAGGGAGGCCAACAGCCCTGCAGCCAAAGCGTAATCTGTCCTGCAAACTTCACATCTGTGTCCACATGGCCCAATATATATGGCTAAGGGGACACACACGCATTCTGTAACTCATTTACACACACACACACACACACACACACACACACACACACACACACACACACGAATCCATGGGACAGTCCATTCCAGGGGGAGTGGATGATGGGAGGGAATTTCAGCTCAAACTGCTTGTTAACCCTTTGTAAACATTGTAATGTTCAATAGTGTGTTTTCAGTCTCCACCTGCTCTGACTGCTCTGCTTCAGGGCGGGACGTTTCCGTGTCCAAGCAGAAACATCTTTGAGAAGGAGTTCCCCTACCCCCCACAACCCACAGGTGGGACAGCCAAGTTAGGGTAGCCTATGGACAGAGAGAGAAAGGTAGCTGCTGTTAGCAGGAAAATGATGCAATTACTTGTGTTTACATCATTCAAGTAAATCAGTTTACACTGCTGTGGTGAAAAGACACAAAAAATTACTAGAAAGGACTTATGAATAAGAGAAACTTTAAAAGTTACACAGTAAAACTAAATCAACAAATAAAATAGAAAAAAATCAATCTGTGGTTTCAAAAATATGGAAATAAATTAAAAGCAGAACACTGTACTACTACTAATGTTTCCTTTTACAGTGTAGTTCATTATTTGGTGTACTGACCAAAATGATTTTCTATTCATTCATTTGAATTTGATACGTTTTCCTGATTTTACATTTTATTAAACTGCAGCTGGAAATTGACCAACATTTCTTCGAATACACTTGAGCTGCTTATGAATTTTATACTTCTTTTTTATACTTCTTTATACTCTACTCGGTGCTATTAAACATTGTTACTGCTCAAATATTTTCAAGCTTACGATTCATTTCATCATGTAGACATTTGCCAGTAGTTTAATAACTACAAATACCAACCACAAAAATGTACCATATAAAGGCACATTTGATTTAAAGGGCACAAAACAGTCACCTTCATCATAAGTGTCCTATTTATAACATCTGATTTTAATTATTAGTGCAATTCAAATAGAAATCAAATTAAAGGGAAAATTAAGGTTAAAAAATACTGCCTCAAAACTCCACTCCACTACATGAGCAAACATACCTGTTTTTTTTATGACTGTATTCTCTAATTGAAATCTCCAAGTCCCAATAAAGTCACAACTTTAAAGAAAAAACACTCTAAAAGCAAAAGACATTTTAAAAAGATTAAATACGTGAAATTTGTACTTTGGTTCAGATCTATATAATTAGTTTATTTCATTGCCAATAATTAGGTTTAGAGAAGACAGTCACCTGTTGCCTGAATGCACTTTTCCATCCAAGTCCCAGCCTGGGGCTCTTGTCTTTGTATACAACTGCAGAAAATATCAAACCCTGTCCGGAGAGAAGATCAAATAAATGAAGATATGTCTCTTAGATACCTAATGACCTTCTCGTGATTCACCGTGTCTGTGTTTTTGCAAAATATTAGGAGCTATAAAGGGATGCTTAGGAAAAGATCCTCACTATTATATAAATACAAACACAATACATGCTTGCAGAAACATTAACATACAGAAAAATGGCTCTGACTCCGTTTCTTGTCCCATTAAATGCAACAAGAGTGCAGTGGGCCAATCCTTTTTCTCTACGTCTTTCCATCATCTGGCTCTAATTTCAGTCAGTGTTGAGTTGGCCTTGAGATATGAGATGAGAATTTTAACTAGCTTCCTGTAGTGAATAAAATACCACTCTTCCTGACAGCTTTAGGACTTTTAAAGCAGATTTGATGTATGTATTATGCATTGTGGAACTTATTGCTGAAAACAAGAGCTTTGCAATAATAATCGGCTTGATGAAATTAGTGAAAACAACTGATAATCAGGAATGCACACAAGAGAGGAATTTGGAATTTTTAGGAAATACAGGGGGGTAGGCGAAAATGAGAAACAGCTATGTTGACTTACAAATAAATACCACTCACATAAGTAGCATGCTCACCGAACCTGAAATCTGCACAGCTATCTAGCTAAGATATCTGAACTATCTATTATATAGTTTATAGTTAAAATATTTAAAGGTAATATAAATTAGCATAGTGCAGCTAGAAAATTTTACAAAGGGGGCAAAGGAGGGACAAGAGGTCTTGGCAGGGTGGCACATATGTCTTCAGCGAAGTATGTGAAAATCCCCTATATGTAAATAGAGTCAACAAAATATCTACGAAACATTTATTGTATCGTTATCATAGAGAAAAATATAAATAGTAGATTAACATAATGGACAAAGAGTTAATAGCTTAAGATTGTTAGCTAAGATATTAAAAGCGATAAAAGTACTGTTTTTAACTGATGTACTGTTAAATATCAAGCCAAAGGTAAAAACAAAAACAAGAAATATAAAAAACAAACAGTCAAACAACCTCCCACTCCCACCCCTGGCTAATTAGAGATATTTAGCTAAAAGTAATGTTGTAATATAAATGTAAAGGAAAAAAATTAGTAGTGATAACAATAATTAGATGAAACCATTATCAGGCAATCTGAAATTATTAAAATACTTGATAGCCAAAGAAAACCGCTAACAGTTAACAACGATATCGTAACTGTTAAGAAACAGCTAAAAATTTAGACATTTAGCTAAAATCATAGATAGTAAAAAAACAAAACAAAAACAAAACCCTTTGTTTATGGCTAAATCATTTGTTTTTCAACTCTAATTCATCATATAAGCTGAAAACCTTAAACAGTTGACAAATGCATCAATAGCTGATTTTAAATAGTTAATTTTAAATAGTAGGCACGTGTTAATTATATATATTTAGCTGAAAGCAACAGTTAAAATGTCACTAGCAATGCACAGTTAGCTAATATTTAGCTAAGAAATTGCCTAATATTCAAACATAAATTAGCTTAGTGCTAACTGAAACATTTTTCAATTGTAGAAATTAGCCAGAAATAATTTATCTACCTGTGTTGTTTTAGTAATAATTACATGAAAAACAATGAAACCTAATTTGACATTACAAATAAAAAATGGATAACCTAAATTCCTAGTTGAAAGAGTGAACTGTATACATGAAGTGCAAAATAACAGCAATCAAACTATTTTTATGGATTGATCTAAAATACCTAATTTCCTTTGTACATTGCTATCTCAGATTTTAAAGCATGACTTAGCAAACATGTTGGGCAATAACAACATAGTAGGAGATTGTTAGTAGACACGCCTTATTTAGTCATGTCTCCTGCTGTAAAAAATAAAACCAGTCAGAACCTGGTTAGATTTAGAGTGTACTGAGTGTCCTACCACAGGGACACTGCGCTACCTTCAAAATCTGATAATAAGCTATCTAATAGGAGACAGAGGTCAGAGGGGATGTAACATAACAAAACGTAAACTACATCAAACCAGAGAAGATGTGAAAGTCCTGTTTGATGCCAAAGAAAGTGGAGAACCACTCTGGTGTCATAACTGATTGACCTCTGGATCATACACCCCTGTATGTTTTGGTCTAAAAATGCTCAACACAAGCGCATGTTGCTGTGTGTACATGTGAACTCACAAAAAGAGAGTATTTGTTAATGATTGACTGAGAAAAATGGGTCAAAAGAAGGACTTGACAGGCTCAGAAAAGTCAAAAATAGTGAGATATCTTGCAGAGGGATGCAGCAGTCTCAAAATTGCAAAGCTTCTGAAGCGTGATCATCGAACAATCAAGCGTTTCATTCAAAATAGTCAACAGGGTCGCAAGAAGCGTGTGGAAAAACCAAGGCGCAAAATAACTGGGCCAGATGGATGGGCCCGTGGCTGGATGGGTAAAGGGCAGAGAGCTCCAGTCCGACTCAGACGTCAGCAAGGTGGAGGTGGAGTACTGGTTTGGGCTGGTATCATCAAAGATGAGCTTGTGGGGCCTTTTCGGGTTGAGGATGGAGTCAAGCTCAACTCCCAGTCCTACTGCCAGTTTCTGGAAGACACCTTCTTCAAGCAGTGGTACAGGAAGAAGTCTGCATCCTTCAAGAAAAACATGATTTTCATGCAGGACAATGCTCCATCACACGCGTCCAAGTACTCCACAGCGTGGCTGGCAAGAAAGGGTATAAAAGAAGAAAAACTAATGACATGGCCTCCTTGTTCACCTGATCTGAACCCCATTGAGAACCTGTGGTCCATCATCAAATGTGAGATTTACAAGGAGGGAAAACAGTCCACCTCTCTGAACAGTGTCTGGGAGGCTGTGGTTGCTGCTGCACGCAATGTTGATGGTGAACAGATCAAAACACTGACAGAATCCATGGATGGCAGGCTTTTGAGTGTCCTTGCAAAGAAAGGTGGCTATATTGGTCGCCGATTTGTTTTTGTTTTGTTTTTGAATGTCAGAAATGTATATTTGTGAATGTGGAGATGTTATATTGGTTTCACTGGTAAAAAATAAATAATTGAAATGGGTATATATTTGTTTTTGTTAAGTTGCCTAATAATTATGCACAGTAATAGTCACCTGCACACACAGATATCCCCCTAAAATAGCTAAAACTAAAAACTAACTAAAAACGACTTCCAAAAACATTCAGCTTTGATATTACTGAGTTTTTTGGGTTCATTGAGAACATGGTTGTTGTTCAATAATAAAACTATTCCTCAAAAATACAACTTGCCTAATAATTCTGCACTCCCTGTAGTGGGGACCACTCTGAGTTCTTAAACTGATTATCATATTAATTCAAGCTAATTAGAAATTATTAGTATAAGCTCCATTCATTGAAGATTATCGTTACTATTTTGTTTCTATAAAGAAACTCCATGTAGAGCTGTCTTATTTATTTTTCTTCTATTTAATTGATGTGGAAGAACATTTGGGTATACACTAAAATGTGCCATGTAACCATGAATTGTTTGATATCTTCTAATTAGTCATTGTGTGTTTGAAATTTACCGAAGACACACACACTAGATAGGGTCTAAAGTTCAAATCCTCTTGAACTTTCAGCTACTAAGAGCCTGTCGGAAAATGAAAAGCACAAAAGATAGTAGACTTATGAACTTTGTATTTCTACAAGGGAGCTTTCCAGTGTATTTAAACCTTCACGT